TAAATCTTCACCTTTAAATATTCTTTTTAATTAGTGTAACTGTACATCTTGACTGAAAACAAAATATACAGAAATTACGTTTCCAACATACCTGACAAAGCCAAATAGTTGATGTCATGGCCTGCCATCATAGAGAATCTTCCTGACTGGCCAAATCCACTCAACCTGGCATAGATGAGCTTTGGATTCTCCTTCTGCAGAATCTGTGGGCCGAGTTCAAGCTTTTCCATGACACCTTACAAGTAACAATATTTTTTAAAGAGAGCATGAATTGAGGATGGGTATACTCCCTTTTCTGTGGCAAACATAAAATAGCACTCTTGCAAGTAATCGTAACATTTGTTGTGGGTTTATAGCAGGTTTCCAGTAATTAAGAACCCAAAGACGAGGCCACCATTTCTGGAATATGTGGCTTCTGTCCCAGAATGCTATTTTCCTCCAGCACTCCCCTATTTCTCTTCAGACATATCCAAGCCTCTTTAATCCCTATAGTGGCCATTTCATCCCTTTAGTCGGCCCCTTTATAGTTTCCCAAATCCTCTCCTTAGTAATTTATTACAAATGGTTTGTTCTCTTGGGACAGTTACCCTGGGTCTTTATTTGGTCAAAACTTTTGAATGCTGTACTGCTGTTGCTGTAAGGACCTTTTCTTTTTCAATCCCCACAGCAGTGCCTGCCACCTCCTAACTCATGCGGTGCTTAGGTATGTACGTATTCCATGTTCCCCATCAGCTCAGAAGCTCTTCTGGCAGCAATCATGCCTGATTCCCGCTGGCCTCTACAGCTCCTAGCATCGTACATTCACAAAACGGCTCAGTAAATATCCGTGGAAAGGAAAAGTTAGCTACGATAACATCTAAGCTCCTAAGTTGTCACAAAGTACAGTGTTTATTGCACAAAATTCAGGTAACTTCGCACCTGAAGTCTCCTGGGAGTAAAAGTAATAAAGATTGCATAATACATTCGCGGTCATAGTCTTAAGGCTATGATAAATTACAAAAGAGTTCTAGTCCTCCTCCTAAACACCAGCCACGATCCTCTCACCTGGCAGCTACACCTGTATTCACAGCTCTATTTTCCTCCTAATTGCAAGATCTGGACAAATTATTTAACCATGCTGAGCTTCCTTCATCTTCAAAAGTGGCATTAGTAAATTATGATATAATCTTAATTACATTATCCTCAACTCTGGCTGTGAGGGTAAATGAGTTAACACATCTAAACATGCCTGGTGCCCCACAGATGTTCAATTCATTCACCAAACATTTACTGGCTTTCTGCTATCTACCAGGCAAAGTTCTGGATTTGT